TGCAAACAGGCCGAGTTTTACACAAATTACTGGATTGTTCCTTCTTCAAGCATTACGATTTCATAACATACCAAGTAATATCCGTGCAAGGTGTTTGATCGCCACGTTGTTGATACTGGCAGTGTTATATAATGGTTTGTTTTCTTCTGGAATTATTAATAAATTGATGAGTGTTAGTTACAAAGGTGAGATTCGAACAATTGAAGATTTGGCTGATTCTAATCTACATGTTGAGTGGGTTAATAATCCATTTTCGGTGTATGCACCCGAAACTTTTACAGTAAGTTTAAAAAGATTAAGAGATAAATTTTAAAAAATAACAAAAAATGTTTTTTATTGAAGGAAGCAGAAATTCGTGCATTTTCTCGTTTTGTACCCGAATTGAATATTTTACCGTATACTGAAAAGGTTATTTACCACTATGTTTGTCCTGCAACAAAACGTACGTTAATAGTATATTAAAAATCAAGTATGCTAAACGGCACATTAACAACGTTTAAGTGCGTGATGATAGATAGTTTTTTACTTCCACTTTATTTCAACGTTTAGTTTTTGTATTAGAACTTTTTTATTTGAAAAATTTGAGATTTGTTTGCACACTGGTCATAAATGTAAGGTTGCAGCCATGCGAACCGCGTAGACACGTGCTACAGCAGCGTATGATGCTTTGTTTGACGCAGGGGTAAGCTCCACCCCGTCACTAAAGTACTTTAGTCACAACCGTGATTCAAGTGCTACTTTTTGTGCCCTAAAACTAGGCACAAAATGTGTTTCAAAGGTGGAAGTAGAAAACTACTATCATTTTTTTTGTTTTATTAAATAATCACATTTTATTATATTTTCATAGTATCAACTTCACTGAGAACTTCAACTACACAAAATCAGTCACAAAATCAATATCTCCCGTACGTTCAAACAATGGATTATTTCTTTCTAAGAACCTCTTCTGTAATCACTGTGCTCCGACCTGATTACTTAATGCTTATTCCACTCGTGGACGATTATGCTCTACGATGCAAAAGTGGTGGCCTAATGACCAAATGGGAATGGGATGCTTTCATGGCCGAAAATAAAATGGCGGACTTATTGGAGTATTTAGACAACAGCCATCCACCTAAAAAGCCGGCAAAATTACAGTTTGACAATGTAAAAGGAGTGTTTGTTATATGGACAATTGGTATCATAATTGCATTCTTATCACTCATAATAGAAAAGATAAATGTTCTATGTTTCTACAGAATAATATTTTTTTAAAGAACACAAATGATAAACAATTTACAGGTATTTTTATTATTATTTAGTAATTTTATTCAGTTTAGTAAAATAATTAACAAGATAAATGGAATGATTAAATGTTTATCGATTAGTTTTTTTTCTAATTACTCACTGCATTGTACACAAATTGTTTTAGTACGAGTAAAGTATGTACACGACAAAGAGTTGGTTCTATTTCAAACAATGGCTCTGCTTCTTATCAATTTTTCCATTTTACAACAGAAAAACCGAATTATTCGAATCAAGTACTTGTAGACTTATTAGTTTAACATTCATCTTGTTTTTTATTCAAACTGTTAAACAAGTATCTAAATTATATTATGAACAATTTTCTATGGCTACCATGCTCGGAGAAATAATAATGACGCTCATAATGCTTGACTTCATTTTACTCAACACACAAAAAAAGACTCGGAAACTAAATAAATTATTTCTACTTGCTGAGCAACTCAATTACGATCTGGATAGCCAAGATTGGCACTTGAAATATTTCTGTATCCTGTGGAATATCTTCTTTTTTGGTATTCTTTCCACAATGGGTTATTTGTTTATTACAAGAGTGACTATATATTTTACATGTCAACGACTAACTGAACTTTTTATGTTATATTATATGGAGGCATTAATTGTATGGAGAAATTTGCTTTGTAATCGAATGAAATGTCAACTTGCAGGACTCAATAAACAGTTAAAAATCATCGATGTAACTCAATACAATTCTAATGAATCAATACTTAATCAATTGATTAAAGATCATAATATTATTATGAACTGGGTTGATGTTTATAATGAACTTTATGGACGTGTTGTATTTCTCACGAAAATTTTTGAATCTTATCAGGTTTTAGTCTCGCTAGAAATGTTCTTGAGGGGGTATATGGAAGCTAATAATATGTCAAATAATATGGGATTGTTAATGTATTGTTTTAATCTATTTATTCTTGTAAGTATAATTTTCAATATATTAATTTTTTTTTGCTTCCACCTATAAAGCACTATATTTGCATCGTTTTGAGGCACAAAACGGCCAAGGTCGTGATTAAAGAACATTAGACCCGCACTTTAGTCACGGGGCGAACTGTGCGTTTCAAACCTCAACGTGGAAATAGAGTCGAAGTTGAAAAATTAATGTAAGCATCTCGTGGTTACACGTTGTTAAACACTCGTGTCAAAAACTCGTTTAGCCACTGTTTAGCCACTTGATACATCATATACTAAAAAACTCAAAATAATTTATTTTAATAATTAAAATTTTAGTCGCAAGTTTTTGTTACGGCGAACGTCTGTGAGAATTTCATCAACGAAAGCCACAAAACAATCTGTATTGCAAATAATTTATTGGTACTTTGCAATATGAAGGAGACAAGCACAAAAGGAAGGTTAGAGTTTTTATGGAAGCAAGCAAGTGAACGATTTCCGAGGTTTTCTGCGTGGGGATTCTTTGATGTGAATCATGCTTTAATCTTTACTTTTGTAAACATGACAATTTCGTATGTTATTGTTATTATACAAACGCATAAATAAACTATAGGCGAGTTCATATGGGGCTTGATTTGAATATTGCCTAAAAAATGTTATTCATTGTATTAATGTTAATTTATGTATTAATAAGTAATTATCTTACCTTGGTCCATAGTTACATGTATATAACTTTGCGTACATATTCCTGGATTTGTCAAAGTAACGAATAAAGTCACATCCCAATTTGTTGGATCTCGCCCAAATCACCTAGACAAACAAATGTAGGAAACCAAATTGGGCAATGTAATTATTTTATATTTTTTCACTTTAGTGAAAATGGAATCACGTGGCTAAACGTTACTAAAGTGCCGTTTAGCGCACTTGATACTTAATACACTATTAAATTATAATACTTGTGTGTAATGTCCTGTCACGCCACCATTAGATCCAAATGGATACCGGAAGTTTCTGTATTCATTGAACCATGAAGCCGCCGCCGCTTCCCAATCCTGACCCGCATCATTCCTGGAACTCCAACTGATGTACCCAAATTGAACATTTTACCTTACACTGAAAAGGTTATTTACCACTATGTTTGTCCTGCATCTAAACGTACGTTAATAGTATATAAAATATCAAGTGTGCTAAACGGCACATTAACTACGTTTAACCGCGTGATACATATTTCAACGTTAAGTTTTTGTATTTGAACTTTTTATTTTTTATTTTTTATTAATTTCATTCTTATCAATCATAATAGAAAAGATAAATGTTCTATGTTTCTACAGAATAATATTTTTTTAAAGGGCACAAATGATAAACAATTAACATGTATTTTTATTACTATTTAGTAATTTTATTCATTTTAGTAAAATAATTAACAAGATAAACGGAATAATTAATTGTTTATCGATTTGTTTTTGTCTAATGACTCACTGCATTGTACATAAATTGTTTTAGTACGAGTAAAGTATGTACACGACAAAGAGTTGGTTCTATTTCAAACAATGGCTCTGCTTCTTATCAATATTTCCATTTTACAACAGAAAAACCGAATTATTCGAATCAAGTACTTGTAGACTCATTAGTTTGCTATTCATCTTGTTTTTTATTCAAGCAGCTAAACATGTATTTATATTATATTATGAACAATTTTCAATGGATTCAATGCTCGGAAAAATAATAGTGACGCTCATAATGCTTGACTTCATTCTACTCAACACACAAAAAAGGACTCGTAAACTAAATAAATTATTTCTACTTGCTGAGCAACTGAACTACGACCTGGATAGCCAAGATTGGCACTTGAAATATTTTTGTATCCTGTGGAATATCTTCTTTTTGGTATTCTTGGCACAATGGGTTACGTGTTTATTACCAGAGTGACTATATATTTTACATGTCAACGTCTAACTGAACTTTTTATGTTATATTATATGGAAGCTTTAATTGTATGGAGAAATTTACTTTGTAATCGAATGAAATATCAACTTGCAGGACTCAATAAACAGTTAAAAATCATCGATGTAACCCAACACAATTCTAACGAATCAATACTTAATCAATTGATTAAAGATCATAATATCATTATGAACTGGGTTGATGTTTATAATGAACTTTTTGGACGTGTTGTATTTCTCACGAAAGTTTTTGAATCGTATCAGGTTTTAGTCTCGCTGGAAATGTTCTTGAGGGGGTATATGGAAGCTAATAATATGCCAAATAATATTGGATTGTTTATGTATTGTTTTAATCTATTTATTCTTGTAAGTATAAATTTCATATTAAAAATTTGCTTTTTTACTTCCACTTTGGAAGCGCCTGTTTTTCCACGATTTTAACATACAAAACGGCTAAGGCCGTGACTAAAGTACTTTATAGGGCTTTAGTCACGGGATGAAGCTTGCACCTGCGCATAGGCCTACGGTGCAGCACAAGACCATATGAAATGCGTTGTGCCTTCAGTCAAACAAATCAAAGAACTTATGAATCACTTGATTGATTAAACGCTCTCTACGCTTGCTCTTAATTAATCCCGTGACTAAAACTCCTGTTTAGCTACTTGATACTTCATATACTATTAATAATTAAAATTTCAGTCGCTAGTTTTTGTTACTGCAAACGTCTGTGAGAATTTCATCAACGAAAGCCACAAAACAATCTGTATTGCAAATAATTTATTGGTACTTTGCAATATGAAGGAGACAAGCACAAAAGTAAGGTTAGAGTTTTTATGGAAGCAAGCAAGTGAACGATTTCCGAGGTTTTCTGCGTGGGGATTCTTTGATGTGAATCATGCTTTAATCTTTACTTTCGTAAACCTGACAATTTCGTATGTTATTGTTATTATACAAATGCATAAATAAACTTTAGGCGAGTTCATATGGGGCTTGATTTGAATATTGCCTAAAAAATTGTTATTCATTGTATTAATGTTAATTTATGTATTAGTATTTAATTGTCTTACCCTGGTCCATAGTTACATGTATATAATTTTGCGTACATGTTCTTGGATCTGTCAAAGTAACGAATGAAGTCACATCCCAATTTGTTGGATCTTGCCCAAATAACCTATACAAACAAATGTAGAAAATAAAATAGTGGAATGTAATTATTTTATATTTTTTCTACTTCCACTTATAAAGTGACAGTTTTTTCCTGGCATTGAGTCTAATGTATTTTAGTCACGGGTTTTAGTCACGGGGCGGAGTTTCCGCCTGCGGATTTGCTTTAGTGAAAATAGAATTCAGTCGAAATAGAATAAATAACTTTATGCATCACGTGGCTAATCGTTACTAAAGTGCCGTTTAGCGCACTAGATACTTAATTCACTATTATATTATAATACTTGTGTGTAATGTCCTGTCACGCCACCATTGGATCCAAATGGATACCGGAAGTTTCTGTATTCGTTGAACCATGAAGCCGCCGCCGCTTCCCAATCCTGACCCCCAACATTCCGGGAACTCCAACTGATGTATACATTTTGACCCACCCAACTCCAACGGCCTAAAAATTATGATCTGAATTCTGTTTTTAAATTTTAACAAAATCTTACTATCAGAAGCGATGATGTGTTGCATTTTGCACGTCCGGGAGACTTTTCGTCCTTCCTGAGCCAGACGCTCATCAAACGATAGCATCTGAATGTTTTTCCCGCGTGGTTGTCCCGGAACCTGCCCGTTCATAATCATCCTACGGTAATCATTATGTCTGTTAACAATTACGTTTCTTCCAGCTGCACTTATACCCCATTCTATGAAAATTAAAAATCTCGTGATTTAAATGGCATTTAGCGCACTTGATACTCAATATGCAATTAATGTATTATACTTACCGAAAATTTGACCACCATCTGGGCATTGTGAGTGTACAAATGAAACAAATACTGCCCAGAGAAATAATATAAACGTTCGGGAAAACATTGCGTAGTATTTCGATTTTTAAAAACTTTCTACTAACAAATTACATGTATCGGGCTTTTATAGTCCTTTTTGTTATCGATAATGAATGCCAACACGCAAAACAATTTGTTAAACATCACATTTATATTCTCACGCGTCATTCAACATTCCATAATTCATAATTCACAAAAATTTTACAAATACAAATTTTTAAATTAAAATTATGTATCAACTTTCAGTGTTTATTAAGTAAAACTAATATTAATATTATTATTTATTTATTTATTGAATAATACACCATACTTTATTATCTTCAATACACCGAACTCATTCTTTAACATTTCCTGTCTTGAATATAAAATATTATTTTGTTTATTTCCATTTTGTTTGGAATAAATAACCGATAAGCGTTGAATTTTTATCAAAAAAAAATACGACTCTTTTTTATTATTAAAATATAATAACTGAAATATTCTGTTATTCCAACTGTTGTTTTCCATTCGGAAAATCTCCAGTTTTTGATTAAAGAATAATCATCTGTAATTAACATCTAATTGCATCCTTTTCGTTAGAAGCACGATGAAAATGAAAACAATTAAAATAATTACTACTTATAGTGTTTTCGAACATGCCTAAGATTTTGTATAAATAGTAAATATTAATTTATTTCCCAATCAGTCCGCCGCTATGCCAGAAAAGTGGGACACACTGGTATTACGAGACGCCTTAGGGCCTAATCTAAAAGTCCTGCAACTTTTAGGATATTGGCCACCAGAAGAATCCTCTTCATTAATCAGAGGTGTTTACCAAATCTACGCCACATTTTGTGTTGGTTTCTTCTTCATTTTGTACATAGTCACTGAAGTTATAAACATTGTGCTATCCTTGGATGATTTGGAGAAGATTACCGAAGCATCATTTTTATTCCTTACTCATTTTGCGCAAATAATTAAACTGTATCACTTTACCACCAAGAATCCTCGTATATGTGCTCTTGCAAACAGTCTACAAGGACCTAAATTTCGTGCACGCAATGCCAAACAATATGGAATGTTGAAGAGGAGCATCTTTGAAGCGCAGTTCACGTTTTATCTTTTCATATCAATGTCGTTGTCTACTTGTATTCTCTGGGGGATATTCCCTCTGATTGATCAATCTGCAGATGGACACATGGCATTACCACTCAGCTCGTATTATCCGTTTAGTACTGATAATTCTCCGACGTTTGAATTAATCTTTGCTTATCAAATAATTTCGACTTCGATCAATGCTGCTACGAATGTGAGTATGGATACTACTGTTTCGTCGTTCATGTCTGTGATCTGTGGGGAGTTGAATGTTTTGAACGATTCGTTGGTGAATATTCGAGAGTTTGCTTTGGAACGAATGGGGAAACGAGCAGTTGATTTGGGATTACTGGATGATAGTAATCATGCTAAGACGCATCCTGAATTGGAAATGGAAATGGATAAGATTTTGATTGAGTGCGTTCATCAACACTGGCAGATTTTAGAGTAAGTACTTTAACAACGTTTAGTGACGTAATGCTTGCGATATTTTTTCTTCTTCTACATACTCGTACAACTGCATTTTGCGTTGTTTGATTGACGGCGCATAGCATTTTATATGGTATTGTACGACACCGTAGAAAATGCGCACACGCAAGCTCCACCCCGTGACAAAACTACTTTAGTCACGACTTTGATCATCCGTAATTAAAGTACCGCTTTTTGTGTCTCAAAAAATATAAATATCATAGAAATACAGGCGTTTCAAAAGTGGAAGTAGAAAAAAAATCAAAAATTATTGATATTAATGATGATTTATTTGTTTTCATAGTGCGACAATTGAAATTGGGGAACTTTTTAACATTGGAGTACTTTCTCAATTTGCTGTTGGTACAATAATAATTTGTATAACTATGTTCGAATTGACTTTGGTCGAGTTGTTTAGTTTACAATTTGTCTCAATGGTTTTGTATCAAGGATGCATGTTGGTGGAAATTATTCTTTATTGTTGGTTCGGGAATGAAATCATTCTGAAGAGTGAGAATATATGTTTCTCGGTGTATAGTTCCGACTGGTATAGGAACTCGGTTGAATACAAGAAGAAAATGTTGATGATCATGACCAGGACGCAGGTACCTATTCGCTTGTATGCGGGAAATTTGTTTACGCTTTCCTTGGTAACATTTGCTGCTGTAAGTATTTTAAATACTTAGTTATAAATTAATATCAATTTAATATGTAATTTACAGATTTTGCGTTCTTCATGGTCCTACTTTGCTGTCTTGCGTCGTGTTCATGTTGATGAAAATGAAATACAGTAAAAATATAATATTGTTCAAAATTAAACACATTATGTAATTGTTAATAGACGACTTAATACACATTTTTCAATAAAATAGAGCCTCTAGAGATTCTTGATTGTCGTCGTTGAAATCCCCTCACGTCGCTTGCAGTATATTCTAGTTTAGTTTAGATCGCAGATAAAGTGTCTATTGTAATTCGGGCACAAAGTCGCGTGCCGTCGACGCGCCGCCAGCTTAGCGCATCTATTGCTATTCGCGCACAAGGTCGCGTGCAATCGACGCGCCGGTTTCGCATCTATTGCTTATGCCTGCGCGGTTTGGGCAGCAGGTAGTCTTATCATAAACTCTCGCGACGTTGCTAACTCGGCTACGGCATGCATTCGTTACTGATGGATTGCAGTCAGTTTTGTGCCGGTCTCTGGTTGATCCAGACGTGTTTTGATCGACGCGTATTGTTTGTTCGGACTTCTGCTTTCTAAATTTGCATTATATTCGATCATCAATTGACTATTTAATTGTAACTACGATATTAATTAATGTTATTTATTATTCGCGCGTTTAATATACATTATTGTACAAAAGTGGTAGGTACTTGATCGCGTTTCGTGTTCATACTTATGCTAGTTGCAAAGTTCGGTGTCGGTCGGATATAGGATGGCCTCCATGTAGATTTTTCCATCATTATCCTTGTGTAAGTAACTTTTCAATCAACAGCACATATTGTATTTTTCCTATGATGTATAAATATATCATTCCAAAATCTTTTAAATGTTTCAACTTCTTTTCTTTTATTTACAGCACTTGCTGTACCCTCGTGACTGATGCTTACAACAATTGGTAAGTTTATAATGCAATCATATTTTTCATTCTAATTTAAGCGACAAATATTTATCGTTTCTTTACATACCTCGCAAAAGTTTGCCCCTTTTTTGAAATTTTCAAAACTTTTGGTGAAAATTTTATTTTTACTTTGAATTATTATGGCACAGGAAAGGTTTCGGATGAAGCACCCCTTGCCCTCCGCGAAATTCCACTCTAATTTAAAAATGACCGCAAAATTTTGCCCTTTTGTGCATTTTTAAAAACATGCAGTGGAAAATTGGTCATATCTCGTGAACCATTCGCAATATCTTAGTTATTTATTCGTTATATGCTAAAAGGAGTGTCCTGTTTCAAGATGCACACTTAAAACATCGCGAATTTCAGTTCTAACTGTCTCAAAATGGCCGCCAAAGGTTGCTCTTTTTTAGCATTTTTCAAAACTTACGATGGAAAATTGGTCATATCTCGCGAACACTTGGCAATATTTGGGTTATTTCTCTTTTATATGATAGAAGAAGAGTCCTTTTTCAAGGTGCACCCTTGAAACCTCGCGAATTTCAGTCCTAACTGTCTCAAAATGGCCGCCAAAGTTTGCTCTTTTTCAGGATTTTTCAAAACATACGATGGAAAATTGGTCAAATCTCGCGAACTCTTGGCAATATTTGAGCTATTTCTCTTTTATATGATAGAAGGAGAGTCCCTTTTTAAGATGCACCCTTGAAACATAGCGAATTGCAATCCAATCTGTCTCAAAATAGCTGCCAAAGGTTGCTCTTTTTTAGCATTTTTCAAAACTTAAGGTGGAAAATTGGTCATATCTCGCGAACCCTTGGCAATATTTGAGCTATTTCTCTTTCATATGATAGAAGGAGAGTCCCTTTTTAAGATGCACACTTGAAAGTTAATCCTTACTGTGTCAAAATGGCCGCGAAAGTTTGCTCTTTTTTTAGCATTTTTCAAAACTTACGGTGGAAAACTGGTCATATCTCGCGAACTCTTGGCAATATTTAAGTTATTTCTCTTGTATATGATAGAAAAAGAGTCCTTTTTCTAGATGCACCCTTGAAACTTCGAAAATTTCAGTCCTAACTGTCTCAAAATGGTCGCGAAAGTTTGCTCTTTTTTAGCATTTTTCAAAACTTACGGTGGAAAACTAGTCATATCTCCCCGAACCCGTGGCAATATTTGAGCCATTTCCCTTTTATATGATAGAAGGAGAGTCCCTTTTTAAGATGCACGCTTGAAACCCCGCGAAATTTAACCCTTACTGTCTCAAAATAGCCGCAAAACTTTGCTCTTTTTTAGCATTTTTCAAAACTTACGGTGGAAAACTGGTCATATCTCGCGAACTCTTGGCAATATTTAAGTTATTTCTCTTGTATATGATAGAAAAAGAGTCCTTTTTCAAAGTGCACCCTTGAAACTTCGCGTATTTCAGTCCTAACTGTCTCAAAATGGTCGCAAAAGTTTGCTCTTTTTAAGCATTTTTTAAAACTTACGGTGGAAAATTGGTCATATTTCGCGAACCCGTGGCAATATTTGAGCTATTTCTCTTTTATATGATAGAAGGAGAGTCCTTTTTCAAGATGCACCCTTGAAACTTTGCGAATTTCAGTCCTAACTGTCTCGAAATTGCAGCGAAAGTTTGCTCTTTGTTAGCATTTTCAAAACTTACGGTGGAAAACTGGTCATATCTCGCGAACTCTTGGTAATATTTAAGTTATTTCTCTTTTATATGATAGAAGGAGAGTACTTTTTTAAGATGCACCCTTGGAACCACGCGAAATTCAGTCCTAACTGTCTCAAAATGGCCGCAAAACTTTGCTCTTTTTTAGCATTTTTCGAAACTTACGGTGGGAAACTGGTCATATCTCGCGAACTCTTGGCAATATTTGAGCTATTTCTCTTTTATATGATAGAAGGAGAGTCCCTTTTTAAGATGCACCCTTGAAACATAGCGAATTGCAGTCCTATCTGTCTCAAAATAGCTGCCAAAGGTTGCTCTTTTGTAGCATTTTTCAAAACTTACTATGGAAAATTGGTCAAATCTCGCGAACTCTTGGCAATATTTGAGCTATTTCTCTTTTATATGATAGAAGGAGAGTCCATTTTTAAGATGCACCCTTGAAACATAACGAATTGCAATCCAATCTGTCTCAAAATAGCTGCCAAAGGTTGCTCTTTTTTAGCATTTTTCAAAACTTACTATGGAAAATTGGTCATATCTCGCGAACCCTTGGCCATATTTGAGCTATTTCTCTTTTATATGATAGAAGGAGAGTCCCTTTTTAAGATGCACCCTTAAAACATAGCCAATTGCAGTCCTATCTGTCTCAAAATAGCAGCCAAAGGTTGCTCTTTTTTAGCATTTTTCAAAACTTACGGTGGAAAATTGGTCATATCTCGCGAACCCGTGGCAATATTTGAGCTATTTCTCTTTTATATGATAGAAGGAGAGTCCCTTTTTAAGATGCACCCTTGAAACATAGCCAATTGCAGTCCTATCTGTCTCAAAATAGCAGCCAAAGGTTGCTCCTTTTTAGCATTTTTCAAAACTTACTATGGAAAATTGGTCATATCTCGCGAACCCTTGGCAATATTTGAGCTATTTCTCTTTTATATGATTGAAGGAGAGTCCCTTTTTAAGATGCACCCTTGAAACATAGCCAATTGCAGTCCTATCTGTCTCAAAATAGCAGCCAAAGGTTGCTCTTTTTTAGCATTTTTCAAAACTTACGGTGGAAAATTGGTCATATCTCGCGAACCCGTGGCAATATTTGAGCTATTTCTCTTTCATATGATAGAAGGAGAGTCCCTTTTTAAGATGCACACTTGAAACCTCACGTAAGTTAATCCTTACTGTCTCAAAATGGCCGCGAAAGTTTGCTCTTTTTTAGCATTTTTCAAAACTTACGGTGGAAAACTGGTCATATCTCGCGAACTCTTGGCAATATTTAAGTTATTTCTCTTGTATATGATAGAAAAAGAGTCCTTTTTCTAGATGCACCCTTGAAACTTCGAAAATTTCAGTACTAACTGTCTCAAAATGGTCGCGAAAGTTTGCTCTTTTTTAGCATTTTTCAAAACTTACGGTGGAAAACTAGTCATATCTCCCGAACCCGTGGCAATATTTGAGCCATTTCCCTTTTATATGATAGAAGGAGAGTCCCTTTTTAAGATGCACGCTTGAAACCTCGCGAAATTTAACCCTTACTGTCTCAAAATGGCCGCAAAACTTTGCTCTTTTTTAGCATTTTTCAAAACTTACGGTGGAAAACTGGTCATATCTCCCGAACCCGTGGCAATATTTGAGCTATTTCTCTTTTATATGATAGAAGGAGAGTCCCTTTTTATGATGCACGCTTGAAACCTCGAGAAATTCAATCCTTACTGTTTCAAAATAGCCGCGAAAGTTTGCTCTTTTTTAGCATTTTTCAAAACTTACGGTGGAAAACTGGTCATATCTCGCGAACTCTTGGCAATATTTGAGTTATTTCTCTTTTATTTGATAGAAGAAGAATCCTTTTTCAAGGTGCACCCTTGAAATCTTGCGAATTTCAGTTCTAACTGTCTCGAAATTGCAGCGAAAGTTTGCTCTTTTTTAGCATTTTCAAAACTTACGGTGGAAAACTGGTCATATCTCGCGAACTCTTGGTAATATTTAAGTTATTTCTCTTTTATATGATAGAAGGAGAGTACTTTTTTAAGATGCACCCTTGGAACCACGCGAAATTCAGACCTAACTGTCTCAAAATGGCCGCAAAACTTTGCTCTTTTTTAGCATTTTTCGAAAAATGTAATGTAAATTTGTTCCCCGTGTAAAAAGAAAACGAAGGGCAAAGTGAGTAGAATAAATTCTATTTACAATTATCATGTGATGTGTTAAACTTGATGGCCATGAGGTGGCTGCAGTAACTGTTATCTCATCCATGTTTACTCATATATAATTTCACTATACTATTTAAACTCGCTTTATTATGTTCTCGCGTGAATTTCGTTGCCCGCCGGCAGTCGCATGTCCTACGGTCAGGAACAGTGAATACATTGAATACCAAATAATTAATTATCATCTAATAATCTGTATTGATATTTAATTATGAGTGAGTCTCAATAAAATATTATTTAAATTAATGTTGCATATATGGGCATATTTATTTTTGTATCCTCATTGCCGTTTCCAGAAATAGTGACAAAAG